GCCTGCTAATTTTTGTTACCAGGTAACTAGAGCATCTTAATTTTTTTCATAGAAATCATATGCTGGGAAATGTGGATTTAACAGTTTAAGAGTACTAAGTTCCCTTCAATTTTTCTCACAACACAGCCTTTGAGTGGATTTTAAAATATTAAATTTCCACTTCTTTTCATGATTTTCATGACCTGTACATATATGCACCCTAGTGTTCTGGTATTATTGTACCAGGTCATTGTGTGACTTGGCGTAGTGTGATGCTGCATGCTGCATTCCAAATATGGTTATCCAATATCTGATCTGACAAGTGTGTGAAGAGTGGAGCAATCGGAATAAAAAACAGTCAAAACTTGTCACTTTTGCGGTACATTTCTTACGTATTGCTGTATTTGCTGAACCCAGGGAGTGTTAATGTAACAATATCAACAGGTTTAATGAACAGTACCTGAAGAGGCTGGAGTCTTAGCATTAGCTGCAGCGGCAGAATTAGCTGCTGCAGTAGCTGAAGCACTGAACACTGTTTGAGGCACAAGACGTGGCATCAAGGGAACAAGCCTTCTTCCTTCTGCCGCCCATTCAGCACAGCTCCCAGCACCATAAATACTTCACAAAAAAATGCAAACAAACATTATGTTACTATATTCTTGCAAAAAAGTGTAGTTCTTGACTTTTTAAATTGATGGCCATGGTTATCACAGCCTAGCATTTGCATTTTGTAGTGGAGACTTAAAACGTTAAGGGAAATATTGAAGCCTACTGTACCTTTCCGCCACGATAGCCAATCTGTCATCACTATAGGCTCTTCGCACCTCAGCTCTATGGCGTTCAGTGGATATACTATTAAATTTAAAGTGCCAAAAGACTTTTAGTGACTTAGTCACACATAACTATGAGAGTGAACAGTGTATCAAGTTGTAAAAACATATGGCTCAGAGCTTAAAAATGGTAATGTCCAGTAGTCCGGTATAGGTAGATTTTCTTGCTGGGCAACTAACTTTTAAAGCTTACTTGTCCAACGGGTAAGACTCCAGGTAAGTCATCCTCTAATAAAATCATTCACTAAGACTAGCAAGAAGTGACCCTGTGCAACAAAAATATGACAGCTGCTTGCCCAAAGGACAAGCTGGAATTCAAGCCTTTTTCAAGCCTTGATTACTCTACCTGCATCATGTAATTTTCAGGAAACATCCCTACCCTTCCAAACAGAATCCTGTCGTTTTGATACAAAGTCATTTCAATACAAGTCGTTTTGCGAGGAGAACTCAAGCAGTGAAACTGCACAAAAATTTCAATCACTTCAAGTTTGCAGTTGAACAAGAAAAAATTTTGGGTGAATATTCTTTGTTCTTTACGCCAAGCACATTAAATTATTTACAACTTGAAGGAATTAACTTGTATTGAAAAGACTGGTAACCTTCCAAACCCAAGAAACGGAAATGCATAATATAATGTTACAGTGAAGTTCATTAAAAATTTTATGTGGGAGGAACTATGAACTATGGTTTTAGAAATTGTACAATAATACATTAATCATAAAATAATAATGGTAATGTAAGTGTTCAGCCCTCCAAGCTATCAACCACCATGGTAAGTAGATAAGTAATTTGCTAACTAAATTTGCAGTAGAAGTTGACAATGGAAGGTAAGATGTAAGATGAAGAATACAGTTCAGTCAGTTACCTGAGCTGAGCTCCCAGTTCCTGCAAAATCTTCTTTTTAGCCCTATATATGGAAAAAAAAATGCATTAAGAATGTGAATAACAGTTTTCCCTTCTTGTTGTTGGTGAAATAGAGTACAAAATTACCATTCCAGATCAATCACCACTGTTGCTTTTCTTTGCTTGACACAATACACCTTTCTCCA